ACTTTAACTTGTTAATCTGTCTTTAAAAATCGATCTCTAGAAGAATAAAAAAAAAAATCTTTGACATTTATCTCCCCTGTCGCACAGTTCTCCCCCCTGTTGAGTCGGCCGTATTGTGTTTCCTTTTAGGCATTGTCCCCGCGCAAGTGACCATCCGATCGCTACAACACCGGTTCAATGGAGGCGATAGACCTCAAGACTCCATGATAAACAATGACGCCATTCATCGGGTAAACCCGGACATTCAATCCCCGCCCCGTGAATTCTCGGCGAGTTTTTATATCGGGACAATTGTCGGCGGTTATCGGTCGTCTGGTTCTCGTTTGCCGCCATCTTATAATATTAAGCGGCGACATTAGAGCAATCGAAAGGACATTTTCAAGTCTCTATTTGAGATTGTATGGACGACTTGGAGAGACGGTATCATGTCAGCTTGTCTCCACCCGGGGTATATTTTCACACGATCGGATTCTCGAGCGCCCCCGGGGTAGGGCCAGGAAGTGACGTCAGTAATTTGTGACAACTTTATGCAGCCAGGCTTTATTCAGTAATTATCTCCCCCCCCCCCCCTCCCCGCCCCTCTAATCGTTTTCATACATCGATAGAGATGTCAGAGAAATAGGTTCTAATTAGGGGTTGTTGGGACCCATCATCACACTAATTTTACACACATCTACACACAAGTCGACCCACACTACCCCACACCACACACACACTACGATACTGACACGTAGATAAAATGACCAGTGTTTTCATCCAATTACCATCTGACGTCACCACCACTATCATGTTATGCTATAGATGTTGGTTCTCAAATTATTATATAGCTCGTAAATTTAAAAAAAAAACAGCCACAAGGTAATTGAATAATTTCAGGATTATCAAATACATGATTTAAATTTTTAATGTACCCGATAAACTTAAAATGTAGGTGTAGATTCGTCTTTTCTTTGGTGTAAAGAACACATCAAGTATTGCAAAACGCTGTTCAAGTTTCTTATGTCATTAAATACTACCCCCCCCCCCCCAAAAAAAAAAAAATTAATTAAAAAAAAATTAAAATAAAATTAAAATAAAACTTTACATAAGCTGAACAGATAAACCTGAAACAATACGACCTATTTTAACACGAACAGATCCCAAAATTTCAGTGACCTGCTATCTAACCACCAGATCACTTATTCTCTAGACCACACCAGCACAAGGTCCTGGGTTCAAACACCAGTCAGACGGCTACCATCAAGATATCAGACGTGTCTCAACCTGCTACAAAACCTGTCCACGTTTGGCCAGACTCGTCTTCTGCTCCTAGCAGCCATAAACATCCCTCTAATTAATAGACTGACGTCATCCCAATAACTCGTTAAAATTGATTCATAGCATGCTTTGTATTGCTCGTTGCTGAAATATGATCTTTCTCTTTTCTTTAAACAATCGACCTCGGCCATAAGTCCTTGCATTTTTGTTAGTTTTAAGTTGGGGAGGATGTAGAATAATGAGCCCCTATAGCATCAACTGTGACATCCCTAGATTTACGTCTGTCTGTGGTATCACTTGCGCAAGATGCTGTTTTTTTTACACATATGAAATGCTTCGTAACATTTTCGTAAGTCCATAAAATAGAAATAATATTACTACCTTTTAAATACCGCTTTCTGTGTACAAAACAACTTATTACCACTATAACCAGTATACAGTCATTTTTTGTATAATCAGTGACAACTTGACTTTGTTTTAATACCCTTCCCCCTCTACTAATCCTCCATTTTTATTAATTTGGAAAAACAATAAAAGCAACGTTTAGCAGCTGTCATAAGGTTTTAACTCTTGATCAGCCAGGACACGCACATTAGGTTTGATGATTTTGTTTTAAACTAGCGTTTAGCTCAGGTTTATTGAACTAAGTGGGTTTTATTTATGTTTTAACCCTCTAAACACCGAAACCGCCTGTTACATCAGCTGATAAAATCTTGTCAGAAGTTGGTCTTTTTTTTTTTTTGCGTGGCAGTCAGAAGTTGGTCTTTTTTTCTTGGCAGGTATCTAGTAAATGCCACCCGATAATCTGTCAAGTTTTTAAAAAAAAATCCTTAATTTAAAAAAATAAAAGTCGAAATATAAAATACTTCCTTTCAATAGTACACAGTATAGGCTGGGGGTTGAGGGGGATTTAAAAAATAGGAATCTATCTTAGGAAAACAACAGTACAAACTTTTAACTGGAGGCAACAGATTTCTCCCCCCCCCCCCCACCATTTCGACTGCTATTTCTATCCAACTAGCCGCCCCTCCTCCCCTCCTTCTCCCTGATGCGACAATTTAAACGGTCAACATTATTTGCTCATTATGGACGGCTGGTGTGTGCTTTAGAATTCCAGACAAATCCCCCCGACGCGAGGTCGGCGTGCTTCTTCTAATGTCTCGCTCCGGTCGCCGGCTTTCATTCGAGTTTGCTCGACAGTCTTCGGCTGCAGCAATCCAGCAAGAGATGGCCCAGGATCGCCCAGAGATGGCCCGGTATCGTTCAGAGATGGCCCGGCTTGCCCCAGAATTAAAAGTCATGTTTGCCTTTCTTTGACTTGAGAACTTGGCTCTTTTTTTTTTAGTTTTTTTTTCTTTTAACTTCGGATCAGCGGTGAGCTGTAGGAAGAGTTACCCTTTTCCGAGCCCCCGAATTCCTGAGGTCGGAAAGAAAACAAAGGCCACACATGGATGTAGTTTGTTTTTGTGACCACGTGATTGGGTGTATTACATACAGGCCTACATGATGTGCGTTATCATGTCTGCAAAGTAATTAGATAATTATCGTGGTCCTATACTTTTTTAAAGCCCAAGTCCGATCACTTTTCTGGATAACTTGATAAAACCTTATACTATCTAGTTTATTATAAATGTTTATGAGATGTAGTTTTTTTTTAATGTTATATTAATGTTTTTTTAAAAATGTTTTCGGTATTCAAAATGTCTAGTTTAGTCTAAAAGTCTTGTTTGGTATAAATATTTCAATAAGTTTATAGCTTATTCACATTGTTTAAATATGTTTTAAAAAGGTCTAGTTTATTCTCATGTTCTGGATAGGTGTAGTTTATTGTTATGTCTCTAAAGTTATACTTCATACTAGATGTCTTTATAGTTTAACGAAGATGCATTTAAAGGTCTTGATTATTAATGTCTAGATGGCTTAATTCAATGTTTACTGAAAATGTAAGCCTCAGGCTTACTCTACTTCCTCTCTGATTACCCTGACATTTTAAAACACTGACCGTGTCACCCCCATCCCCCACCCCCACCACACTTCCTAGGACCCACGTTAAAACACAATGAGATCCGCCGGTACAAAATTAAAAAAATGACCGACAAATAGAACGAAATGGAAAACAAATAGTCGTTAAATAATTGAGTTTTTAATTTAGCCCCGGCTTATTAGTTCGATCTGATGCCGTTTAACGTCAGCCCACTAGTGCTTGACTGACGTTTAATGATCGATCTGACTTTGTTTCTTATCAAGTCATTTGTCTGACTGTTGGTGCTGATATATTGATACACAGAGAAAATATTTGTTTTACAAGCAACAGACGGGTGTTCAAAGTTTAATTAGATCTCATTGTGTCTAGATTGTTGTTAAGTAGTACTGGGGGTGGGTGGTGTGGTAGGTATGGACGGTAGATCGTGTGGTATGTGTGGGGTATGTGTGTGTAATGTGTGGTGTATGTGTGTGTAATGTGTGTGTAATGTGTGGGGTATGTGTGTGTAATGTGTGGGGTATGTGTGTGTAATGTGTGGGGTATGTGTGTGTAATGTGTGTGTAATGTGTGGGGTATGTGTGTGTAATGTGTGGGGTATGTGTGTGTAATGTGTGGGGTATGTGTGTGTAATGTGTGTGCAATGTGTGGGGTATGTGTGTGTAATGTGTGGGGTATGTGTGTGTAATGTGTGGGGTATGTGTGTGTAATGTGTGTGCAATGTGTGGGGTATGTGTGTGTAATGTGTGGGGTATGTGTGTGTAATGTGTGGGGTATGTGTGTGTAATGTGTGGGGTATGTGTGTGTAATGTGTGGGGTATGTGTGTGTAATGTGTGTGCAATGTGTGGGGTATGTGTGTGTAATGTGTGTGCAATGTGTGGGGTATGTGTGTGTAATGTGTGGGGTATGTGTGTGTAATGTGTGTTTTAGGGGTTTGGATTCTTTTAGCGGCAAGAAGATGATAAATATGAGAACTTGTTAACGAGAGCTGAGAACTGATGTCAGCACACATAATCTACCCGTACACATAATCTACCCGTACACATAATCTACTGTACATATAATCTACTGCACACATAATCTACCTGTACACATAATCTACTGTACATATAATCTACTGCACACATAATCTACCTGTACACATAATCTACCCGTACACATAATCTACCCGTACGCATAATCTACCCGTACGCATAATCTACTCGAAATCTAACATAGCACGTGTGTAAACGTGTGTTTATTTCTGTGTGTAAGTTGTGTATATGTATGTGTGTGTGTAAAATGAGGAGCATTTATGTGCATGTGTGTGTATCTATGTATAATTTTTGTGTATGTGTGTGTGTATGTATAATTTATGTGTGTGCATGCTAATAATTTTTTATTGTTGAAGTCAAAATATTAGACTGTTTCATGTTTATTTATGTGATGTATGCTTGATATGTGCATTAAGATGTTGATATATACAGTTTGATATTAACATGTTGATATATTAACGAGTATGTTAGTTCTTGATATTTTCACGTTTATTCGCTAATGTTGAATGTCCTTGTTATTTGTTTAAATATTCATATTGATATGAACATGGTAATGTGAAATACACTGTTCGTAGGTTCATGTTGATTCATACATGATGCATACATAATATGTCTATATGTTGGTTTCTATCGTTCTAATGTTACTCACTACACTAACATTGAGCTTAACAAGTAACGACAACTCTGGTCACGGTATTACCACTGCATGTGTTATCTTTCTTTTCAGTTGTATGAACTGAGCGAGGATCCTAAGAGAAAAGAATTCCTTGATGACCTATTCGCCTTCATGCAGAAAAGAGGTAAGTGTATGTACATTTTTATCATTGTTAGTCAGTTATCTCCCTGCTTTCTATCGAATTACCTCCCTGCTTTCCCCCTGTGTGCATAGCTTTTTACAGTGATTTAAGTATTTGATGTTAATTAGTAAAATGTTAAATAATTTAATAATTGAAAACAAAACACATAGAAAAGTAAATTTAATGGAATGCTAAAATGAATAATTACAATGAATGGGTTCTATTTTATATGCAGACGGTTAAAGAAAATTTCTAGATACATAATTTTTAAAATTTAAAAAAAATATACTCGAACTTAACAAGTATACGATTAACTTTGAAAACTTTACTGGTTTGTTTTTCCTTTTAAAGATTTTTTTTGCGTACATTATTTGCATTTATATATCATGTATAGCTTATCACACACATTAAAAAATAAGGATGCTGAAATTTTAATTGGACATTATGAAGAACCAGGCTAATGGGACTATTCTGTTGTTGGTAGAACGCTATAATTAAGTTAAGTCGTTTAATGGAGTATTTTAAAAATAGAGTACTGAAAAGTGGGTGGTGACATCATTGTCTCCCCCTATTTCACGGTAGTAACCGGTGACATTATTATGTCACTCTGGGGCGGGGGGAGGGGGGGTATCAGTATGACACGACATCCATACCTAACAAGTCTTCCATTATGATTTGGACTAATCACTGGCTAAGAGCTACCCAATGAATGGACATCCCTACAACTGATGTCCCAGAGATCAGTGGCAACCAATAAATATCCACTTCCGGTCGGTCGCCCCCTCCCCCCCCCCCCCTTCTTACCCATCCGTATGAATTCTAATGCTTTCACAACTGATATTCTAATTATTATGTCCCTTCGTCATTCTAGCGCAGAACCGCGGTAGCGTCGAATGACGTCACTCCCCTCATTACGGCTAGATTTATGGCCCATTTTTTATTGGTCCATATCTGATGCTGTTGTCTCAAGCATATGCCTACAACAAAAGAAGTTTTAAGTAGCCTCGCATTAACCTGACATCCCCACGACAATTATAGAATAATGTGGACATTTTTAACAAGGCGGTTCTCTTATTTATTAGATGATAAATTAGATGATTAATTAGATGATAAGTTAGACGATCAGCGTGGAAGGAGAAGAAAGCATCATTAGACAGCAATTTAAATTTTAAATACATTTTTGGTTGGACAATTCAAATGACTTATTTAGGGACTTCGATTAGGTCATCGCTCTTTGACGTGTAGTTCATGCCAGTATTTAAGAACTGTAAGTATGTTTTTAAACTTAGAAAAAAAAGCTGTATTTAAAAAAAATCACTTTACTAGAACCAGAAAACGAAATATCAATATCATCGCCTTATACCCTGATGGTTACTCCCATCTCTCCCCCCCCCCGCCTGATTACGGCGTCTCCCCCACACACAGCTGTTAATTATTGACAAAATAAACAGTTCCATGCCTTCCCCACCCACACTCGTAATCAACTACCTACCCCCTACTCCTACACACGTTAGCAGCTTCATGTCTACCCCCCCCCACATTTAACCAGCTCCATGCCTACCCCACCCCCATACGTAAACTGTTTCATGCCTACCCCCAACCCTATATGTAACCATGCCTCCCCCTCCCCGCCCTGTTAACAGCTTGATACCTCCCTAGACACATTTACCCCCCTTTCATCTTACTTAAAATAACAGCGCTTAACAGCAATAAAAAATTAATTCCATAAATAAATAAATAGCCACCCCTCATCCTTAGCAAATAAGATTTTTTTTCGCTCTAAATATATGCAAATTGTTAAGATAAATATTGTTAAAAAAATTCTAAAATAATCAACCTCGGATGTTTTTTAAAATTAACAAAATTAGCTGCCTGACTGTCTGATTACATCTGATTTTTTTTTGTTTTCTTTCTTGGTTTACAAACATACATGCTTAGAAGCTTAGATGTGATTTAATTATTGGACAAAAATTAACTATGTTTTGGCAGAAAAGAATTAGGTCTAACTCGTTTCATTTTTTAAAGCTAGGAAAAATTCATTTATTACGTTAGGGAAGACTTTTTTTTTCCTACAAAAACATTATTCATTTTTGTATCGGTAAATAGACTACATTGTGATTTACACAGCGTGTGTGAGAGAGGAGGTTTTATTGGCTTGCACTGGAAGCCTCGACGATTCTGATTGGTCCATTGATGGCGCTGCACACGACATTAAACGGCAGCGTACATGCTCGCGTCATTTGACAATCGCGCTTCTCATCCTGCCGTAAAGTGCGATACGGCGATATTCCCAGGAGTGGGAAAAAAGATGGTAAAGGGAGAAAAAAAAATGGGAGAAAAAAATCTATCTTAAAAAAACAAATTTTAGAAATAAAAACTAACAAATTATTAACGTATCTTAAAAAAATAATTAAAAACGAAAAAAAAAAATTTACAATATTTTAAACGAAATAAAAAATAGATCCACCCTTTTCCTTATTTTTATCAGAAGGAAAATCTAAAATGAATATTCGTACCCCTCGGTGAGAAAGAAAAAAAATCATTTATTACCTCCCCTTACGCTTGATTTAAACCTAATCGGCCTTATCTGGTTTCTTAACATCTCTTGATCCGTTTGTTTTACCCGTTCTGTTTTTTAATCCACAGCTCTATTTATTTAATTCTTAACTTTCATGTTCCTCTAGTCATGCGAGTGTGGGTTCTGTAGAACACGCGAAATGCTGAATAAATAAGCTCGGCCGTCTTATCTCGTCGGCTGATGCTTACTCGGTAACACAACGCCGGCTTTAGCACCTAAATAAACAGATTTCGCCACCTCTAAGTCCAGTTCGGGAATCAGATTTTTACGGTAGGTGATGGGGGGGGGGGAGATATAAAAAACGTGTGGGTTACAGTAAGTGGGAGAAGAATCTAATGAGGGGAGGGCGAATTGGGGGAGGGGGGAGTAAATACATATATTTAAAAAAACTTGGGTACTTTTTTAAAGCACAGGATACACCAAACTTTTTTTTTAATAACGTAATATTTTTACTATATAGGACAACGAAAATTTTAAAAATGTTATATTTTTACGATATGGGATATAAAAATGTTTTTTTTACTACACGAAACATCTCTTGTTAATAATAATACCCCCCCCCCCCTCTCATTTAGCCTCGTGTAAGATGTAACACAAGCGCTTGTTTTTCCCATAGCTCGCGCCCCGCTTGTGGAACTGGCGGATAATGGTTACCAAATGGAACCGCTTGACGCAGATACCTCTGATTTCCTTGTTTTTGTACTTTTTTTTTCTCTCACTATCTCTCTATCTAAACCTTGGTTTTGTCCCCCCCCCCCCCTCCCCCTTCCGCCATCCCTCTGATATATTTTTTTTTAACTTCTTTTTATCACTATAACAATGTACCACCCCTTCCATAATCCTTAGAATATAGGTGTTTCTATTTTTATTATGTTTTTAACCACTTTGTCTTTCAATATCTCCATGCCTAAACCTTAGTTTCGTACCCCCACCCCACCCTCTCCTCTAATCCTGAGAATATACGTTGTTATCTTTATTATATTTTTGTTTCTTTTTTTTTCTTTCAAAATCTCAATGTCTAAACCTTGGTTTTGAGCCCCCCCCCCCCCCCCCCCCCCATCGACACGCCGTATCTATCAGTCTATCTGATATAGTTGTTTATTATTTTATTTTTTACTTTTTCTCCTGTTTCTATCTTCATCATGTTTTCAAGTTTTTTTTCTTTTTTTTTTACACTTTCTACAATCACCTTGATTTGTGAATCTGATAGGTACATTTGGACAACGAGAAGCCTAATACTCAGCTCAAAACAGGGGAGAGCACCATTTGATAAACATGGGTCTACAGGGGGGGGGGGGGGCATTTGTTTTGGTATCCAGGTAGGATCCCAGTGTCGTACATGATAGAGATCTGTGGTCCAACATGTTTCATCAGACAACATCCGTGCCGTACGGAGTGAAAGTGGCGAAACCTTTCATCCAGCAGACGTGGCCAGGTTTATTTCGCTTTGATTGCCAAACTAAATTTCCCGGGGATGAAGAGGTTTTACCTTTTAACCGCACACCGAATTTCACCCCCCTCCCCTCCTCTCCACCAGTACCCAGACGGTTCTTATCTAGAAGGGTGAAATAGAGCAGTGAATCGATAAATGATAAGGCTAATACGAAGCGCTAATTCACTTTCAACTCTAGTTGACCTCGCGTGGTTCTATAATTAGCATAAGGAAAACACCGAAGCAGAAAATAATCGGGAATTTCCGGACTGAAATTGGATAACAGTGTTACTGTATTATATTCATTAATTGGCCTATACACACATTTATATATATACACACACACCCATATATATATATATATATATATATATATATATATATATATATATATATATATATATATATATAAACGTACACATCTCTAACTACACCATCCTAATGTGTATATGCCCTACAGCCACCAAAAGTCTTTCAAATTCCTAATGTCTTAAAGTTATCTAAATGTCCTATACCTTCCAAATGTCCTACACCTTCCAAATTTCCTACAGTCATTCTAAAGTCCTACACCCCCTTAATTCCATACCTGAGCATAAAATCGTGAAAGCGGAAGTCAGCCATTAGTGAACTTCCTGGATTCCTCTCTTCACGAGAAGGGAAGCAACTCTACGAATTTTAAAATTATCGCCCTTGGTATCTTGGCGATGTTTAATGCGATTTTTATATCCGCTGACTCAAAATTTTAAACATTTAATAATTGTATGAGGCAACATTTAAGCTCACTGGAAGCATTCACACAGTAGACCTCTATACTCTTAAAACTCACTCGATTAACGAAAAGGTGTCGTTTGATGTCAAGGGTTATGACCCGAGTTAGAGTAATGAAAAATACACCTCCTTTAAGTCAATGGCCAAGTTAACAGAAGTATCGTTGTGCATATGGTGTGTGTGTGTGTGTGTGTGTGCGTGAGGGCGCGCGCGTGTGTAAAAAAA